GTTGTTGTATTAAAATAGGAGATGTGGTAAAGCACTTAGCAGACTGCCTGGCATATAGTAAATTCTACAAATGTTAGGTTTGATGATGATGATGATGATGATGATGATGATGATACAGACGGACACAAAAAAAACAAGCCTGCTCTCTGTGGAACATGCCGGACTCCAAGTTCCCTGATCAGGCTGTGCTCACTCAGGCTTTGTACCTTTGCCCCAGCTCCTCTCTGGGTTTGGAATGTACTCTCCCCTCCTCCTATCTCTGTTCAAAGGACACCTTCCCAGACCAGCCCCTCACTCTGAGCCAGGCAGAAGAAATTCCTCCCTCCATTAAGGGACCATAGCTCCATGATGGCACTTCTCACTTTGTATTAATAATGGCTTGCTTAAAGGTTGGTCTCCAGGGTTAGAATATTAACCTCTAACCCTATTATTAGCTTTGGAATTCTCAGTGTCCAACACAGTCCCAGATCTAACTCGCCCATATGGGTGCTCTGAAAGTATCTGTGGAAGGACTGCACAAGGAACAAAGAAGTGGCTGTAAATTGCATGGTTTCACACCAAATCCCACCCACCTAGTCTCTCCACCGTCAGACCCCTGCCGACACCTGTTGGAGGGAACTGCTGCTCCTGGAGGCTCCCTGGGACCTAGGAGGGTATTAACTGCATCTTCAGCTGTCGCCTCCACCCCACCTTGTGTGATCTGCTGACCAGCTGGAGATGCCACAAGGAGCATGACTCAGGGTGGCCAAAAGATAGTTTCGTCCCCAAACGACATAATTCAGTCACAGGTTAGTAGCCCAAGCTGCTACTCTAGGAAATGTCTGCAAATCAACCTGTAGAATGTAGTTTATCAACACTCAACATTCTCTTTAGCTCCTAGGAAGCTCAGAGGAACCAGGTGATAACTGATCACTCCATTTTTGTCCAGTAGTCACGAAAGACACAAATGATCCTGGTTCTTCTCCTTAATTCCAAGTATTCATTAAATTCAAGGGGACATAAGGTCTGTGGTCTTGCAATAGGACAAAGATACTGGGTCCTCACAGAAATAAAGCCGGTGACCTCCAGCTCATTAGCACCTGTGACATCCAAGTGAACTTAATGGGCCCCAGATAGAACTTCAGGGCTGCTGGAGACCTAACACAGGGCAGTAATGCTGGAGAGGTGATATAAGAAATGATTAGTTATGGGATGCCTGGGTGGCTCAGTCAGTTAAGTGTCTGCCTTTGGCTCAGGTCATGATCCCAGGATCCTGGGATTGAGTCTCCCACCGGGCTCCTTCCTCAGTGGGGAGACTGCTTCTCCCTCTGCCTCTGCCCCTCCCCCCGCTTGTGCTTTCTCTCTCTGACAAATAAATAAATAAATCTTAAAAAAGAAATGATTAGTTATGAAATGATCCAGTTAGATTTCAGTCACTTTAGGGGCGCCTCGGTGGCTCAGTCGTTAAGTGTCTGCCTTCGGCTCAGGTCATGATCCCAGGGTCCTGGGATCGAGCCCCACATCGGGCTCCCTGCTCCGCGGGGAAGCCTGCCTCTCCCTCTCCCACTCCCCCTGCTTGTGTTCCCTCTCTCGCTATGTCTCTCTCTGTCAAATAAATAAATAAAATCTTAAAAAAAAAAAAGATTTCAGTCACTTTAGGAATTTACCACTTATTCACTGTGGGAATATGCAGGTATGTAAATTTCTGAGCCTTGGCTTTTTTCATCTTTTTTTTTTAAAGATTTTATTTATTTATTAGAGAGTGAGCGAGAGAGAAACAGCATGAGCAGGGAGAGGGTCAGAGGGAGAAGCAGGCTCCCCGCTGAGCCGGGAGCCCGCTCTGGGACTAGATCCTAGGACTCTGGGATCATGACCTGAGCCGAAGGCAGTCGCTTAACCAACTGAGCCACCCAGGCGCCCCTTGGCTTTTTTCATCTACATAGTGGGGATGATAACCTAAATCAGAGGATGGAGGTAGGAGGATTAAATGTGACAATGTAATCTGCACGTAGGGAGTGATTCCTTATTAAAAGGTAGTGGAAAGCTCCAGACATACAGCCGAAATAATGGTGGCCCAGTAAATAAGCAGAAATTAGGGAATGTGTATGCCTGTGGGTTGGGAAGGAAGGGAAAGGGGAGGATGGCTGCTCTAGGATAAATGTCAGTTTCCAAGACAAGGGCGGGGGGAAGGACTGAAGTGAAGAGGTGGGTGTCAAACGTGATGAAGACATCTATCACAGAGTCTGGGTGTTACCTGTTCATCTAACAGCCCCCACCTTCCTAGCCACGTGTCCTGCCTTGTCCTAAGCCCTGCTCTACTAGATCCACTAGGATCCCACAGGGAGCCTGGGAGGGTCACTCAGTTATGACTTTGCATTTTAACTTTTTTTTTTTAAGATTTTAATTTATTTATTTGAGAGTGGGGTGAGGGGCAGAAGGAGAAGCAGACTCCCCGCTGAGCAGGGAGCCCCATGCGGGCTTGATGTAGGGACTCCAGGGCCATGACCTGAGCCGAACGCAGACACTTAACTGACAGAGCCACCCAGGCGCCCTACATTTCAAGTTCTTGAGGGAAATCTTGGACATCATTAAGTCCCACCACACCATTTTATCAGTGAGGGAACTGAGGCCCAGAGTGAAAGACTGACTTGCCCCAGGTCATCGTTCTAGTCCTGCCTTTGCCACTAACGTGCTCCTGTGAGGCTTTGGGCAAGTCACTTTCCCTTTCCGAGCCTACAGTTTCCTCCTCTGTAAGATGAGAGATTTGCAGTATTTAGAGCTCGAAGTTCCCTCCAACTGACTTTTGCTGTATTAAAATAATCATTCTTTCTACCACTCTCAAGTGTAGACATTGGATTCCTCACTCCCTGCCCCCCACTTCCCCCCACACACCCATCTCACACACAAAAAATCAAGAAAAGACGTGTGGATACCTTTTGAGCTTAAGTTTAACCGAGTGCTAGTTTTCACCGGGGGTAAGGACAAGAAGAGAGTGGTCCCACAGAAGAAAGTGCTGGATGCTGACGGCTCCTGGGCGCCTGCCCAGTGTGCCCAGCCCCTGTGACTCGGTTCCTGCAGGGCTAAGCGCAGGCAGCACAGCGGGGATAAATAAGGCCAGCGATCACCCCTTACATGGCCATCCCCAAGCTGCCCGGAATCCCTGGGATTACGCAGACTTCTGGAGCTCTTGGAGCAAGTGCACATCACCTGCTGCCGCCACAAGTGTGCCTGGGCTCCAGCAGCCTCTGTCTTGTGACTGAGGAATTTTTAAATGGAAGCTCTGAGCTCACAGAAAAAGAAAATGTCTCCCTGATGTCACCCAGTTGCTGCCAATTCATCAGCTCAAGTTAAAGGTCAAAGAGGGGGAAGCCACTGCTCCAGGGTCCCGTGGCTGCTCCCTCGGATGGGGCTTCCCTTCCAGCAGGCTTCCCGCCAGCCACCGAGGCCGGGCCAGCGGTGGAAGCCAAGACGAGAGCTGTTTGCATTTCCAGGGCACGCACAGAGGCAGTCCTGACGCCACTTAGCTGCTTCTGCCCTCGCAGACATGAACCGATCCATCCTCCCGGCCCTCGAGAGGTCCCTCTCCCACAGTCGGGGCACACCCTGCAACCCGGACACAATGCCGGCCTGAGGGGCCTTCCCTGGGATCGCTTCCAGGCTAAAACCAATTTGGCACAGAAGTTCCTGTGGGTATTTTAATAACTAAATGCTGTGCTCAAAGAGCAAAGAGTAGGAGCCCTGCGACTCAGGATGACAGACTGCTCCCATGGCTTCCTAGGAGGGAGATCTTTGCAAGTGACTGAACCTCTCTGGGCCGGCTTCCTGACCTGGAAAGTGAGGCGAAGAATACTTAACCTCCGAGGGCTTTGCTGAGGATTCAATGTGAAGCTCTGCTACAGGGCCTGACATGTTGTAAGTGCTCAAAAAAATGTCAGCTTGGAACCAAGACATGCAGCGAGAACTGGACAAATCACTTAATCCCTGAGTCTTCACTTCCTCATCTGTCCAATGGGGTAAGAAGCACATGTAATTGACAGGGTCGCTGTCAGGATTCAGGGACACAGATACACAGCAATGAACACAGCACCCAGCACTGGAAAAATAGATGGTGGCTGCTGAGACTCCCCTCTCCATCAGTCTAACTGGGATCTGTAGGGACGGCCTGCCATAGTCATGACAAAACACCTTCTCCAAGCCTGACACGGTCCTTGGCCCCATACAAGTCATAATCCAGAGTTAAAGATGAGACATGGGGAAAACGTGTATATGGTTCAAACATGGGCACAGAAACAAAATTTTTTAAATTCGTTTTTAGGGTTTTCCCTTTTGGGGAGACTGTTTTCAATTGTGGCCTAAGCTTCCAAGGAGAAGAGAAAGATGATAAAAGTTACATGGGTGAGAGAGAGGATTAAGTGGGCTGACCACAAGGAACCAGTAGGTGGAATGGGAAGTGACGTCAAGGAGGAGGACCTGAGTAATAAGATAGCAGTGGATTTCTCTAGAATTGGAAGGGACCACAGACTAGTTCTCTACTTCAAATGTAAGGAATAGGGCGCCTGGGTGGCTGTCGGTAAGCCTCTGCCTTTGGCTCATATCATGATCCGAGGGCCCTGGGTTCGAGCCCCGCATCGGGCTCCCTGCTCAGTGGGAAGCCTGCTTCTCCCTCTCCCACTCCCCCTGCTTGTGCTTCCTCTCTCTCTGTGTGTCAAATAAATAAAATCTTTTAAAAAAAAAAAGATATATTTATTTGAGAGAGAGAAATAATGAGTGAGGGGAGGGGCAGAGGGAGAGAGGACGAAGCCGACTCACCGCTGAGCAAGGAGCCTGATGCGGGGCTTGATCTCAAGACCCTGAGATCCTGACGAGCTGAAACCAAGAATTGGAGGCTTAACTGACTGAGCCACCCGGATGCCACATGCATCTGACTCTTGATCTCAGATCAGTCTTGATCCCAGGGTTGTGAATTCAAGCCCGTGTTGGGCTCCACGCTGGGTATGGAGCTTACTTTAAAAAAATAGAGAGATAGATAAGATAGCTAGCTAGCTAGCTAGATAGATAGATTTAAGTAACAAATGTAAAGAACAGCCCTGGAAAGACAATGACAACAGCCAGAGCCTGCTCAGAGTGGCTCACCGTGCTCACCCAACGTTGAGTATGGTTCTCCTTCTTGGGCACCATGGGTGCCCCCAAACACAGACTTCTGCCTCAGTGATTGACTGGAGGCTGCCCCCTCCTAACCAGTCCGCAGTCAACCCGAGTTCTCCCAAGTTCTCCCAAGTTCTCCCTCCTCCCTGGCATCCCCCATGCTTCGCTTCTGGCACAGGGATGTTCCGGGTGAAGCTTTTCTTCAGGGCGCCTCATTCCCTCTCAGTACACTCTCACAGTGTCCCCGACAGGCGAGCCCTGGCAGCCTCTTCCTGCATCTTTCCTCTTACCCTTAAGACAAAGGCGTTCAAGGCTCTTGGTTTTATATTTCCACGGGCTATTAATATTTTAATGACAAGACCTAGAGAGTCGACGTAAATATATCACATTCTGTAAACATTTCTTGAGCCTCTACTTAATTACCAGACACTACTCTAGTCCTTCTACTTTCTCACAGCTAGCCTATCAGCTTCCCAGAGGCTTCAGGTAAGAAACAGAGAATCACAGTGTGCGACCCTCCGCACCCTCCTGCCCTTCAAATCCAGCCAACGACCAAGTGTTGTGAGATATTTCTTCTGTCTCCCACACGTGTTTCTCCCTCTCTCTTTCGACTGGGCACCTCACCTCAGCCCTTCCTAGTCTGTCGTTTGTACCCCTGAGTCCAGAGCCTCAACCTTCCTCCAACCTATTCTGCACAACCGCATCTTCCTCAAAAGCCTCCTTATCCAACCCCCCCAACTCCATCAAATCCTTTGATGGTTTCCTCCCCAGATTTCATTCAAGGTTCTCTGTGACCCTGCCCGAACTCTCTGGAGCGGGATATATTCATAGACACCCTGCCTCACCCTGGCAGGGTGTCTATGAATATAGACAGGGGTCTTAGGGAAGGAAGGAGGAGGGGGGTCTGGGTATCAGTCTGACTAGAGGGCTGTGTACCCAGGAGGGCTTTAGCGCAATGTGGCCGGGCAAAATTCTGAATCATAGTCAGTGAGGGCAGCCAAATTCCTATCTGGGAAATCAGGGCAGTCTGAAGGGTGAGGCCAAGCCGTAAACAGAATGAGTAATGAGGTCAGAAGCTGGTGGGGACCAGAATCATGTCTAGATGCAGTTCAAGGAAACGGAAATGGTACAGGACTGAGGCTGTGGATTGAATTTTAAGAAGGTATGCTGCTCTACATGGGGATGGGGGCGGGAAGAGCAGCCCTCGAAATCTCCCCTCCCTCTGGCTTTGCTCTTTGGGTTTTCATGTGTGTGGAAATGCCCGTCTTCCCTGCCCCGCAGTTTCCCACGCTTCCCAGGGCCCCAGCACTGCTGAGTGACTTGTCCAAGGTAGTGTGGTGGCAGATGTGGAAACAGAGCTCCGTCTCCCACCTAACAAGGGATGTGCTAGGGAAGCAAGCTTAAACTCACGTTCGTCACATCTCCACGTCTCAGATTCCTCACCTGTAAAGCGAGGACAATAATAACGCTACTTCATAATAGTGTTACATAAGAATAAGACTACTCTGAGGATTAGCCAAGCAAATATTTGTAAAACGCTTAGAACAGTGCTTGGCACATAGTAAATGCTGTATAAGTGTTAGTTAAATAAAAATAAGGTGCACAGCTGGTAAATAGGGCCAGTACTCAAAGTCAGTTCTAATTTTAACATTCTAGTCCTTAGATCCTCCACTAAGGTCAACAGCAGGTTATGATGGACTCAGCTGACTATAGGGCTTTCAAAAACTAATTTTCATGTCAACAAAGAATAGAAAAACATGCTGTTGGCTTATTTTACTCAGGCACAACGGAAATATCACTTGAGTTAGCACCCTTTCCTGTTCTTAGGAAACCACTAAGAAATCCAGACGGACCAGTTCAAATAATAGTTTACATCCCAAATTTAATAAACCTTTCAAAAAAAAAAAAAGTCAAACTTAGAAAATGACTGTGGGTTCAGGAAAGAACAGCATAGGAGTGCCTGGCTGGCTCAGTCGGCGGAGCTGGTGACTCTTGATCTCAGGGTTGTGAGTTCGAGTCCCCAGCTGGGTGTGGAGATTACTTAAAAAAAAAAAAAAAAAAGGACCAGTGTAGATTAGAGAAACTGGGCTCAGTCTGGCAAGGGTCAAGGCTGCAGCTCTCCTTGGAGAGGTAGCCAGAGAGCAGACAACACAGAGGAAGAAACACTGTATTTATTTTCCAAAACTGTTGGGGGAAGGCCTTTGGAAAAGGGAGAATGTGAGTGTTTGGTTTGTAAAATGATAAAAAAGGGACTGAGTGTATTGTTCTATGGCTCAGTAGCAATTCAAAGAAGATAGTGCAAAAGGCTGCTTGCTTTAGCAATCTATCAACCGGAAATCTTTATTAACTGAACCTCTCACTTGACAACAATATGGCACTAAAAGATGTTCGAAAATGATGACCCTGATAGACTGCAAAATCCGAAACAGCTTTCTGACACAAGAGAAAAAAGATGAAATGAAGCTTGGTATGGTTTGTGACAAGTGTATTTTATTGTATTCTAATTTTTCCCAAACAAGCAATATTTTTGTCATCTGTTGTATGGGAGTGATTTATATGCCATCTAATAACTCCCTACCCATCCTACCACTAGAACAATACGTTTGCCTGATTATGGTTGGTATCAGGGTTTAATAAATACTCCTTTTCTCTGAACACGCTTTCCCCATTGCTTGCTTCCGTGTTCCCGCGCCCTATGCTTTATGCCTGTCTTTGCCGGAACGTGACCCGAGGGTCCTCCGCTACCTGGATTCTTCCCCAAAGGAGCTGTCCCTGGCCTTTCCAACCACTCACCCTGCTTGGCACACTTTCACACTGGGGTGGAGGTTTTGAGGAGGGCGCTCTCTTTCTCTTAAGAACCACGAGGAAGGACACCGGCCAGGGGAGAAGGGAAGGAACGAGCACAGCTCTTGGGAGGTAAGGCCTCGGAGCGCGGGGCGGCGACAGCTGAGTGGCGTGGAGCACGTGGCCGGACTGGAACAGGCACCGAGCCGCAGGGACCGCCCCGGGGACGCCCGAGACACAAAGCAGAACCCAACTCGTGCCCGCCGGGCCCCGGATCCCTCAGCCACAGAGGAGGTTCTCCCGCCTTTATGACCTTCCCATTCCTCTCGCGCCCCTCCTCGGCCCGCACTTCGGGCTCCGCATACCACAGGGGTCAGACCCAAATAAAATCCGTACATGGACTCCATCCTCGGGGCACAGCCTTAGCTTACCACCTCGGACCGAAGATGGCCCCGGCTCTCACCTCCCTTCCCCACCCCCCGAATCTCTGCTTGTAAACACCAGTCACTTGGTAACACCCTCAATCAGACGCCTTTGGGCTATTATTCATCACCGACTAACCTTCAACCAACTTCATCTTCACAGGCCTCCCCCCAGAAGAGAGGAAATTCCACAGCTCTGAGGTGATGTGAAACGTGTTCTGCACGCCCCGGCTCTCTTTCTCACTCTCCCCAGCCAGTTCCCAAACTGGGTTTCCCGGGCCCCCCCTGGACGCGGCCTTCCCCCGTTCTACCCCCCTCCTCCCTCTTCACCCCCCCCTTTCCCTCTCCATTTTACACACTGTAACCTGATAGGCTGGAAATGCAGCCTCTTTCATCTTCCATTTCCCACATCCTGAAAGTCGGGAGAGAAGGAGCCCACCCAGATAAAGGCATTCCAAGTATGCGCATCCCCCTCCCCCCTTAACTCCATTCACAAAGCAGATTACTAAAGGCCCGGGGCTCCAGGGAGGCCCTAAGCCCCTCCCCCATCCCGGCGCCCCACCCCCCCCAAGAGTTTACTCATTCCAAGCCCTCACTCCTCACCCGCACAAAAATCTAAGTCCACATGCCTAGAACCAAAAATTAACTTTTCGCTGGACTCTGATCCTAAGGGAAGCTTTCAAACTTCACTCTGATTGGGACGGCAAGGGCTGGAGATTCTGCCTACCATTCATCTGTCCCGGAGTTAGCATTTCTAGATAAGAAGCCTCAGGGAAAACGTGGCTTTGGACCAGGGGGAAAAGATACAAATGTAACATGTGATGTTTCAAGAGGACATGCTCATGTCTTCGGGAAAGATCACAGACTGTTCTAAACCAGAGACATTTCCTTACAACAGAAATTGTTCCGAGGCCAGAGGAAAAGATGCTTCATTTGAGGGGATAGGCGCAGAATGGGGGTGTGTGTGTGTGTGTGTGTGTGTGTGTGTGTGTGTGTGTGTGTGTG